GGTTCTGAAAAAATAAGTTATTTCCAAGCAGGTCAACAATATTTACATACCTGAAGCATTTGAGAGGAAGATCTACAAAACGTGGCTTTTGTGCTTTTAGATTCTTAGAAAATGACATCCTCATATGCTTTATTCTATTTGGCTTCAATAAGAGTAGCTCAGCACACATGGAAATATTCTTGTGCTGTAGGAGGCTGCACTCGAGCACCTTGCAAGCTCTGTATAGTCTATAAAAAGCATCTTAGAGGGTTGCACTGTGCTGCTTGTGCTAACTCTGCTCCTATCAGTAAATTAGCCTATGAAATAGTTAGTTGACTCATGCCTAATTAAAGAATGTCTCCATATCCTAGGAGAAAACAATTAAATGTGTAATTTACAAAATTATTTTTCAACACTTGACAGATCTAATTATGCAGACACTGCTACTGTAGGTAACCCAAAACTAACTGCATTATAATTACAATGTACTTTGCTCACACGGATTGAACCCACGGCTGTAGGCTTCAAAAGATTTTCTTTGTATTGCTCCCAAAGTAGTAATTTCTCACAAAAGTCTTCACAATCTTCCAAAATAATATATCATCAGATAGCAATTGGTACAATAAGTTCATGCTAGAAAACACCAATAACTACAGTTTTGGTTGCTGTCAAGGTATGAAGAGTAAAAATAGTGTGATTCTATTAAATAGGTGAGTCTGTAAATGAAAGATAGGTTGGAACCCTGGATATTAATATTTGTGTAGGATTTCTCCTTGTTTCTTGATTTTTGTCTATCTTTTGTTTGCAAGCAATTCAATACTTAATGACCGGGATGAAGTCTTAACATGTATTTTTCATAAAAGTCCTTAATAAACTGGAATATTAGTCCAATATCCTACACAGGAAGTCATAGAAAATTGTCCTAACCGTGAGTCTTATTGTTTTTTTTTATATCCCTGCTGCCATTGACCAGATTAATCTACTTATTTCATGATTGGACTGTTGTAATACCACATTAAACGGTTTCTCTCTCTGTAGCTTTTATTTGCTTTATTCTGTCTGTTAGATTAATTTTCTTTGAGTGCTCTCCTGATTATTTATACAATTTCAATGGATTAATGGCTCCTTTTACCAATAAATTACATAAAAACTATGTTTTCTACAAGTCAAAAATAGTTACCATTTTTTCAATATTTTAATGATACTGGGGGATAGGTATGTACATTATGGCATTTAATCCTCACAATAAATCTATGAGGTAGCTATCACTATCTCTCTTTTATAGATAAGAGAAGCTTAGAAAGTTTGAATAAAACTGAATGTGTCATACAGCTCATAAGTGCTAGTTTTGAGACTTGAAGCTGATCCACTTGATTACATTAAGGCCTATTAGTTTGATTTATGTAGGGAACAGGGAAAGGGGACATTTCTAAGACCTCTGCAGTAAGTCCTAGTCTCCTGTGAGCCACGGCAGCACAAGGTGAATTAACTTACTATACAGGTAGAAAAAATGAGACTTTGAGAAGAAGCTGAGCTTTGGGCCTGATCAGTGCTGCTCTGGGCAGCAAAGACAAAAGCCTCTGAGCTTGCTGGACGTTTTATTCAGTACATAGGAAGAAACAAATGTAACAAATGACTTGCAGAGAGTTCAGTACATTGGGATAAACAAAGTGTAACAAATGACTGGGGGCAGCAGAAACCGGAAATCCAAGATCAAGGAAGAACTGAATAGATGAAGATTTTGTTCCTCCCAGGATGTCTTCAGCTGGTGTAATCTTGTCCTGGGGCATCACAGCATCACCAGATCCTCGAGGTCTAAGTTGTGACTGGAGGCCAAAATGGAATTATGTCTTGAAATGCCATAGCTGGCCTGTAGGCAGGAGAACTAGGATTTTTCCCTAAAATTATGTAGCATTGCTCCCGACAGATTTATAGGTGAGACTTCAAAGAGATTCTAAAATACAAACTTAATTTATCTTAATATTCATTCATTCTAAGATATCTGTTGGATATCTAACATATGCCAGGATGCACAGATTGGTAAAGAAGAGTTGGTCACTGTCCCTCCACTGGTAATGGTTCGATAATGATATATATGATACAATGTCAGTGCTCTAAGCAACATAGCCAAATCCTGTCTCCTTTCCCAAGGCTTTTTCTAAAGCCTTCTTGCCAGATCCTGATCTTCATTTGAGAAGTATCTCATGTCATCCCCTCCCTGGAATGTTTTGCTAAACCACTAAAACCATTGCAGAGGTCTCCCATTTGTGAACTTCCAGCTCATACTCGGTCTCTATGTTCAAATGTTACATCTGCTGTCAATTGGCTGTGTGAATTGGGAAAGTTACATAAATCTCTGGACTTCTATTTTCTCATGTGTGAAATGTGGATAATAATAATATCTATTCCACAGAGTTATTCTGAGGGTGAAATTAATATAGTTATGTAAAGCATCTAAAAGAGTATTTGGCATATGGTAAGTATTGTATTAACTAATAATAGAACTACATTATTATTCTATGGTTTTACTTGAAAGAATCATATGCCATGTCTGGTATATGTGTATTTAGTGTTGGATATCTCTTATATCTTGAAGCTTAAACTGCTCATCGATTTCTGTGTAGCTCTATGACACTACCCAGAGTTCTTTGTCTTGCTCGAATTTTGCTCTTATCTTTTTCTTCATAAGGGAATTTACCTTTAGAAGAAATTCACTTTGGTAGTATTTTTGTTTCTAGCAGAGTAATACTGCAAGAAATAAAAAAAGGTGTTAGTAAGCTTCCAAATATTGGATTGTTATTGTGATCTAGCCTTGTTCTATTTATGCTTTTGTATTTTACTCAGCAGTATAAATAAATCCAACTTTTTCTGATGCTTGTATGAATTTTTATTTACATATCATAAACTGATCTTAAAAATGAACCCTGGACTTGGAATATATTAGGAAAATTTTTTGTACTTGATTTCGTTTATTGTTACTCAACTCTACATCCTTAAGCAGTGATTATATTTTGAAGTGCTTACCTTAATTCATTTGCTTCAGAATGGCAGCTCCATAAAGAATCTGATCAGGAAAATTATCACTTTTGGAAATTGGATCACTTAGAAAGATTATAGGATAGCATGCATTAGAGCCATAAAAATCTTAAAGGAATGTTTTGTTCAAAGACAGAATAATCAATTTCGTGTATGATTCAGCTCATTATGTTCTAATGCCATGTGGTTGCCTGGGATAAATTCTGATTATGGAGGTCTTCATAATTTAAGAAAATACAGATTGCTGAAGAGAACTGGGACTCCCTTTAAAAACATGTTTTTGCTTTGTACAAGAAAATTCTACACACATATATATTATTGATGAAAAGTTACCCTTGAGCTGAAGAAAGAGAAGTAGAGACGGGATTGTGTGGCTGGGGGATAAAATAGACAACCCTGGGCCATTTTGCTAGGTGTTTTGAATGTTATTTTTTAGAGAATATTCAATAGGTTTTTTTCCCCTGGTAGCAGGAAACACAATCCCCAAATACCTTAGTTTAAGCAAAAATCCATGTGAGCATAGTGTATCTTCCTCTATGTAAATAAGAAATCCACAATTGATGCATGATAGAATACAGGTGCATTTGATACCAATGACAACTGTCTCTCTTAGTTCTGTTGTCCTCTGTGTTGGCTTCATGTTCAAGAATACTCTTTCCATGTAGATTCAAAAATGGCCACTGGTTGATCTGGTCTAGGTTTAGTGTGGTAGGAAATTCAACAAAATCTAGTGGGGGAACTCTGATAACTGGGTCTTACCCATCTTTGAGCAAATACCTTGCCTGGAGGGAGGGATGAAATAATTGGATTGGCCAGTCTAGGTCAGGTATTTACTCTTATTCAGGTGGTAGCAAGTCTCTGTGAAGGGACTTTTCAAAAATGAGACAGTAATAAATACCAGAAAAGAAATGTTATGAATCATATTTTTGGGCCAGCAGGAATGTGAATGGTGGATATATAAGATTTAGGGTGATTCTTGATTCTCTGCCCTTATATCCATCAGGCCTAGGAAGTTAAGCATTCTTTGACACATTTCTAAGTGTAGCCCCACTGTAGACTGGACATAGTACACTGGTCTTAATCTTCGAAATGTGATGGTCTCGTAGGGTGAGCAATGTACCAGAGCAGCATCAAGTCAGTCTTACTTTTACATTCACTCTAAACATGGTAGCCCAATTCTCCACTCAATAGGTTCCTGCTATTACTGCTTATTATTGGATTCATTTAGGAATGAATCTTTGTTCTCTGTTCTTTTGAGTGAAACCAACTTGACCACCTGTAACGTCACAACCATTCCCTTTTGGTCTCCTTCTTTAGTTACTAAGTTTCACCACATTCATCTAGTTCTGCCAGGGACTTGAATTTTTTTTCTGCAAACTCTCCATACCACAGAATTAGGTACTAATGCTTGTTTCTTGACCTTTCTTCTTTGGGTTGCTGCCATACATATCACTGTAAAAACTTCTTCCACTTTCTTGACCTTTGGATTCAATAATTTATTTACTCATTAATTCATTTTTTTATCCATTAAATATAATTTTTTCCTAATAAAAGTGTGAATCTATTAGGTGTTCAGTTTTAGGGCTGGAGCAAAAGATAGAGATGAATGGTTCCTTTCCTCAGGACTGAGTTTAGTGGGAAAAAGGTGTCAAGGAATTTCCAGTCTATCAGAGAGCAGTAGGGGTGCAATCTACAAAGGCCAGACCTGAAAGGAAAGGAGAGTCAGGAAGGCTTCTCTGTGAGTGCATTCCTTGATTTTTGAATGTGTAGTAGTTACCTCAGCAGCTACTCAAGTGAATGGACAAAATCTGTAGAGGCTCAAGGCTGTGAAAGAATGGAAGCAGCTCAGTACCCTGCAGTATATGTGGTATGTATGGGAGATCCTTAGCAGATGAGCAAACCATGTGACGGGGCACTTTTGAGTCATCTAAATGTGTGTGGTCTTTTCCCTAAAAATTGTCTCTTGCCTTTCTTTATTTGAACAGGTGCATTTACCTTTATGTCATTCAAGGATTTCAGTGAGTGATGATTGAATTCTACCTGTCTTCTGTTCTGTGAGACAAATACATAGGCTTCAATTCACCAGAACATTTAGATTCTGTCTCTGCATGGCTATCCTTGAAAAACATCTCCTGGGACGTATTTTTTTGAATGAATTTCAAGAAATTCTCTCTTCCACAAATTCCAAAATCTGCTGAAACTTACATCCTTTACCCAATCCTGAGTGTAGAAGACTGTGAAATCCTGAAATATTTAGCAGTGGCTGATTGTAGAGATGGAGTAGACACCTACCTCTAGAATAAGGTAATATTGCAGAAAGGCCTGCCAAAGCAAAAATAGAGTTTTTAATCTTTGAGTGTGAAACCATGATTAGCATTATTTCTTAAGGATTCTCTAGGAGGAAAATGGGTATACATTGTAGAAGCATTAAGGTCACATGACACCTATGAAACAAAATGTCTTGGCTTAAAGATGCCCTAACAGGGCTTTATGTATAGGATTCCATGTAAGTTTTTATAAAATTTCAGAGAAAGAGACCAGGAAAGAGTGTTAGGTGTTTCTCAAGTCAGTTATCCTTTTCTTCTAGTAACCTCAAGTCTCTTACCTGTGAAATTTATGATAATCTTCAGGTATTCATTCAGTAAGATGGTAGAATAATTTTATCCAGATTTTCAAAGTTATTAAAGCCAGAATAATTTAGAAGGAGAGAAACAGGAGCATGAAGGAAAAAAAGTTTACCCTTAGACTATAGAAGAAAAGCTGGATGTGTATTTAGAGGTTAAAAGTAGTATTCAGCCAAAAGAAAAGCATCCAGCTATTTCAGAGGGGTGAGATACAACATCTAGAATGTTCTAGAACACACTAGAACCAAACCAAAAGTCAATTACATCAGTCAGTAATCCATACCTTCAGTTTTCTTTGTAAATGCCGTGCACTGCAGGGAGTGAGGGAATGATGTACGGAAGGAGTAGCAAGGCACTCTCCTTCTGAAAGCATCACACAATTGGAGGTGCTATGGTAATCTGGCCATACCTCACTTGTTCCTAAACTCATGGCAGTTAAATTAGTCACTTTACCATTGCTGGGACAAAATACCCAACACCTGCAACTTAAAGAAGGAGAGGTTCATTTTGTCTCAGTTCCAGTAGTTCAGTAGTTCAGTTCAGTAGTTTTAGTTCTTAGTTGCTGGCTCCAATGCAGAAACATGGAGAAGGGTCTGGCAGAGGAAATCTGTTCACCTCATGGCAACCAGGAAACAGAAGTGAGGCTAAGAATACACCCTTTCAAGTTGTGCCTCCCACACAGTGACCCATCCACCTCCAACGAGGTCCCATCTCCAAGCAAGTGAAACTTTTGGGAGATAATTCTAGATCTGAACCGTAACAACAGTCATTTAGTTTGACTTTGTCTTTGTTCTGTTGAAGAGGCTCTTTTCACAAAAGTCAAAATTATCTTTAAAAATACCTTTAAATTGAAGTTCTATGCATGCATTTATGGATCCCATACCATATCCTGTGTTCCAAGCCTTCAAATCTTCCCGCATGAGGGCAGCACAGCCATCTTCAGCCGCATTACAGTACTGCCTAGACTGCTGCTGCTTTCCTTAGGAAACCGTTCTCCAAAGAAAAGTACGATTTAAAACAATTTATAAATGCAACAAGTTATAAGAAGTGCACTTATTGTATTTCCTTATTTGTTTACTCATTGAAATTGCTTCCTATGTGAGATAAACTGGGGGCTCTGAAAAGCTGAGTTTGCTCCATATTCTCCTTCATCAAGTGGCTACAGAGCTGAACTCACTACTTTCAAGAATCATACTTTTAGATAAAGAACTGATCTCAAGAAAGCAGTGTTAGAAGAAATCTATAGAGCTGTCATGTCTGGGAAGGGTGACATGTGAAAACTACAAATACAAGACATGGAGACCACTTGTTTTTCACTCCTGCACTGTGGCAGACATTGCAAGTCAAACATGGCACACTTTGTCAGTGAGTCTCAATAGGGCCTTAAAAGCCTTGCTGGAACATACCTGAGTGGCATTACCAATCAATTAAGGTTGGGACTTGGGAGGAAATCAGTTTGGTTTCTGTGCATGAATTGAGTAGGTTATAAAGCTAGTATAGGGCATGTGCCTTTTCGTAAAGGGAAGGACTTGGGGAATGAGAATGTCTTCCTGACTGTGCTAAAGTGGAATGTTAAGGAAACATCAGATACAACAAAAATGAGTGTTGAGACAATGATAGATTTCACAATCTAAACTGTGCTTTCCAGATGTCTTGTATTTCTCTGTGCTCTAATTCCAATAGAGAAGGGAGCTGAATATCTACCCCACTGGCTTTCATCATTCCCTCACACTCTTAGGCTTAAAAGGATAATCTTTTATGGGAAGGGCATGAGCATAAAAAAAAAGCCTGGAATTCTGTTAAGTTCCGGACTTCTAAAATAACTTACAGATTAGGAAAATGTCTCTTTTCTTGTCTGAGCATCTCTGATCACCACTCCCTATAATCATTTCTAACATATCTAAAAGGGAATTATTTCCTGTTTTTACCCTCCCAATGGGAGTCTCTAAATAGGTGAGTTTTGTCACCCAAATAAAAGTTCTGTTAAGTAGAATTTGTTTTCAGTTTCCTTCCTCAGGTAAAATGTGACATCTACATATATCAAAAACACTTCTTACTAATGTAAGAGGTCCTCACTGTCACATACAGATATATTTCCAGATAGTTCAATAGAATGAGTCTTCAGGGATCTTTACTTTGGAAAGTATGTTTAGGAGAAATTAATAAATGCTGCTTGAATGTCAAACAGGAATTGAGGAGACACCCCAGAAGGAAGGCTCTGGAATCCATCTCAAACAATGTTTCCATATTGGCCATGTCTCTGAACTGACTCCTTGACTGGGAACTGTCATCTTAGGCAATTTTTGGATTGGTTTTTCCTGTGTTTTGCAACTATTGGACTTTTTGAAAATCGCTATAGAGTGTAGTGCATTTATATTGTTCTTCTGAGTAATCTCTTCCCATGCTATTATTCATGTCTGCAACTTTTTCAAAAATAAAATAGGCTTCAAATTAATTTTTCTTATGCATACTATTTTGTATGTGTTCTGTCTTATTTTTGGTTGTTAAAATGGTTGAGGTCAGAATCAGCCCACTGCAGACAGGCAGGTCTGCCCATGCCCTACTGAGGTCCCCAGTCACGCGGAATACACCGAATCAGCCCACTGCACACAGGAAGGTCTGTGCATGGCCTACCGAGGTCCTGACTCATGCCGAAGACACCGAATCACCCCGCTGCAGAGAGCCACCTGGTTTCAAACTACAAAGACGCAGAGGACACCAGACCACCAGACCAAGGTACTGAGTCCCGCTGTTCCCGGCCCAGAGGTAGGGGCATCCGAGCCGCCATCCCACTGCTCCTGGTCCAGAGGAAGGGACTTCCTGGTCACCATCCCTTCCACTGCTCCCAGCCCAGAGGAAAGGGATTTTGGGACACCTTCTGTCCCTCTGCTCCTGGCCCAGCGGAAGGGGCTGCCAGGCCACCATCCCTCCCACCGCTCCCGGCCCAGAGGGAAGGGCTTCTGAGCTGCCATCCCACTGCTTCTGGTCCAGAGGAAGGGGCTTCACAGCCACCATCCCTCCCGCTGCTCCCAGCCCACAGGAAAGGGCTTTTGGGTCACCAACCCTACCGCTGCTCCCAGCACCTGTCCCACCTCACCCAGCTCAGAGACGGTAACCCGTGCAGGCGCTAACAGCCCCCCACCCCAGTCAAAATGAGAAAACACCTAAATAAGTCTCAAAACCAGACTTCCAGATCACCTACAGCAACCCCAAAGGAAAATGAGATGGAACACTCTGATACTCAACCACCTGGACCCACTAAACTGGCAACAAAAGGGGATCTGGAAAAAATGAAATCAGAAATAATTTCTC